TACTATATGTTTAAATTTTTCTCCTGAGAAAAGAAAAGGCCAAGTTCTATTTTTTTTTTTTGTGAGTGTCTGATTCTATTCACATTTCCGAAAAACAACTTAAATCTTCAGAAATAATATTTTGGCCATGGTGCAAACAATTGATTCATCTCAAATACATTAGAAGAGGGTGGAGAAGTTGTGGCTTTGTGCCTAAAATTGCACACTGACCTGGCAGCATCAAGCTCTTTCCAAACACATAATATTCAGACCAGCATTAGATTGTTCTTCATAATATCTCCTTTGCCTACGGTTTGTAATTTTTTCTAGTGAACCTGAAACCTCATATGACATCTGAGGGCTTTGCTACTGGGGATAGGCTTTGCAAATCATGGTCCTCTTCAGATAGGATTACCATATCTGATATGTCTGAAATACCCAGGAGACAGAATCTGCAACCTCACTTTCTGACCATCTTCATGGGAACCCACATTCATGGCGATGACATGACCACACATTAGATTTTTTTTAAAGTCATGTAAGTATTGTTTTGTTTTGCTTTAAGATCCATTATTTAATTATTTCCTATAAGTTCCAGCAAGGGAAAGAAAAAGGTTATTTCAAGGAATTCAGTGGTGTTTGAGAGACACAAGATCAGAGGTGTGGAGGTCAATGTTTTTCATCTGCAGGTGTCAGAACATCACCCTGAAGACACCAAAAACTTTACCTAAGAAACAAAGAAGAGTGTCTCAAGCTCCTGATTTGAAAGGGATGCTGCAAGCATTGAAAGGTGAGGAGAGCTAGATCGAGTGTGTAGCTGTGGGATTCCAGAGGTGGCAGGGGCGGGATGGGGAAGAGGGTGCAGTTTCTGGGTGTGGAATGAGGAGACAAGGGAGGACAGATGCTGGGTGCTGATGATGTGGTCACATTTCATGTGGAATGATCAGGGGCTTGGTTCATCCTCTCACTCACCTGTTCACTGACCTACCATAGTCTCTTCTGCTTCCCAAATCTGAAGAGAAAATAGATTTCAGTGCTGACTCCTGTGTTTGTATTGAATATTATGAATTTTTATTATTTCAGAGCTGAGAGATGTGCAACGCTACTTTGGTAAGGAGAAATCACAGTATCATAAGCCACCCTGTTGTCATCATCTTTCAGAACTCTGTG